CGGCGGGAGACGCGCGTGGAGGGAGCGCCCTGCCAGGTGAGCTGGGGCGTGCCCGGACTGCTGCGGGCGGGGGTCGGTGGGAGGCTGTCTGCTCGGAGGCTTCTCTGTGATGGGAAAACAATAGCTCGTGCCCGCCGAGCACTCGGTGTGCCGGGCAGTGGGCTAGCGCCTTGGATGAATGAACTCATTTCATCCTTCGGGATTCATGCCCTGTAAGGTGGCTGCACACTGCCCCCATTTTACAGACGGAGAAACTGGGGCAGAGCGGCCAGGTAATTTTTGCCACATTTAGCGAGGGCCCTGGACCGGAACAAGGATTCCGTTCCTGCCCGTTACTTCCCATTTTTGTTTCTTGGCAGGTCGGTCCGACTCCCTAAGTTCTCAGCCTCCCTTGCATCTGTAAAATGGGGTAGCAGTACTTTTTAGGGTCTTCGTTAGATTTAGAAACAATACATGCAAAGCATCCCCGATTCTGGTGTGGAGGAGCTGTGCATCACGGAGTGTCTATGGTTCCTCCTCCAGCAGCTTCCCCCACCTGGCTGAGGCGCCCCAGCCCCAGATGACACCCCACACTCAGCTAGCCGAGCTCTCACGCCAGGTGCTGCTCCCCGAAGAGCCCTCGGCAAAGCCAGGTGGCCAGTGCAGGCAGCTGTGGCCGGGCCCCCCTCTGACACTGGTCTGGTTGCTCCAGGAGCCCTCCTCCCCTGTCCTCCCAGCTGCGGTTTGTGTGTGAGAAGGAGGGCTGTTTCCCGCATCCTGTGGGTGCTCTCAGAGGTGACCCCTGTGGGATGTGTGCTTAGGAGGGGCCGCCGAGCAGCAGTCTGGTGTGCATCTGTGCGAGAGGGAGTGTTTTAACCACATTCCGTGGGTGTGGTAAGGTCTGGCCAGATGCGGGGGCGGGGGCTGGAGGAGGAGGAAGGTTTGCAGGCTGTGTTATATGGAGGACCCATGCAGCACTCCAGGCAGCGGCCGCCGCTCAGCGAAAGCACCTGGGTGGGTCATTAGGCAGGGAGACAAGGCAAATATGGGCAAGCGCCTTTAGTGTGATTTCTTCGGGAAGGGAAGGGCTAGGTGGGGCAGGCTGACTTAGGATTGGCTGCCTGTGTTGGACAGTGGCAGCTGGGGAAATTCATGTTCATTGTGGGTTTTACAGTGTGTACCATTTAAAGCTTCCCTAAGGCCTCCAGGTATCTAGGGGTGAGTCGCAGTTTGTGGAGTCACAGCTAGTAGACCTTAGGTGACCTTACAGCAATTAGAACATCATTAATACAAGGAGACGGAGATGGGCGAATTGTCTTAGAGCTTCATTGGCTTGGTAAGTATGCATTTTATTTGGTCTGCGTGGTTTATGTGCTGTTGGTTCGTTGGGACCGGGTGGACATTATGGGTGGTTGGAACTTCCTCTCTCCAAGCCATCCCTTGACACCAGAGTTCCTCATGGCACCTTTTCCTCTCCAGACTTACCTTGTCAGCAGTCTGCACTCCCTTGCTAGGAAAACCGAGAAGGAAAGAATGGCCGTGGATTTGCTGCCCACTAAGGTGACAGTAAGTGAAGTTTGTCTTTTTCATAAATTGCTTTTTGGGTTTAGAGATGGTGGATGTATTTCCATTCTTTGTCTGGGTAATTTTCTCTCCAAGAAAAACTGTGGGGAATCCAGAGCTTTGTAAGTTTTCCCCAGGATGCAGGGAGGGAGTGCTGAGGAATGTGCCTCCTCTGTTCCCAGGTTACTCTTAATTCACCCTAACCTGACTTTATGACCCAAGATTGAGTCAGCTCTGAATATATGCTTCTGGCTACAATAAGTGCTTGGTGTGGGGTATCGGGTATTAGGCAGTCTTTGTCTTCACAGAGGATATAGTCTCGCTTGGGACAAAGACATGGAAGGAGCAAAGACACCCTCAGCGAACATTTATTGAGCACCGACTACGCACAGGATGCTGTGCAAGAGCACCCGAGTTACAAAGAGGAAAGATGGTATTTCTATCTTTGGGGAGTTCATGGCACTGACCTTAGGAAATGATTCAACATCCAAGAAGAGTAGGAAAAGATCCTACCAACAAATGGTTGTGGCGTCATTTCGAGCTGACACTGAAGGCCAGGGCTGCTGGTGGTGGGCATCCCAGAAGGAGTCCAGCTACGCTTGGGCCCTGAGGCCGGCACTGGGGAGGACAGAGGGCTGGGGGTTGCTGTGTCGAGCACAGCTCTGATGGCATACTGTCCACGTGTCCCCCTTCTGGACCCGACTGATGTCTTTGTCTCCTCTGATTCTTGTCTCCCTGTCCCCCCTCCTGGGCCCTTCTTGCTCTTTGCCCTTTTGACATCCATTTTCATTACCTTAACCTTCTCAAGATCTTTCGCATATCTCTGTCCTCAGACTGGAGTTTTTACTAAAGACACAGTCTGTCATTCCCAAACTTTTAGGGAATATTTCCACATGGAGATCACAGCTTCCCCCCAACACCAGCTCCTGTTCCTTCCATGGATTTTCCATCCTGCCATCCCCAAAGCCTCTGTTTTCATTGGCCGCTTTCCCCAAAAGTAGTGGTAGCCTACAGGTTATGAATGTGGACCCTGAGTTCCTAAGTTCACATCCAAGCTAGGGGTGTGACCTTGGCAAGTTATTTTCCATGTGCCTCATTTCCTCATTTGTAAATGGGATTAATAATGTGTACCTTGTTTGATTCGTTCAAGAGGATTCGTTCAAGAGGACTGTTAATTTTACATTTTTTTAAACTTTTTTTTACATTTTACAAGTGAGGAAGCTGAGGCACGGAGAAGCAAATAACTTGATGAAGGTCTCCCGGCTAGCCTTGACCCCAGACAAGGTCGTCTATACAGTTAACGTTACACTCCGAGAAAGTATATGTAAAATGCCGAGACCAGTGCATGTTAATGCTCAGTAAATACCGGCTCCTCCTACTGTTATTGTCATCATAAGCAGCTACAGCTTTGTTTTAGGACCTGCCAAATTTGGTATGCCTCTTGCCACTAGGCTAGACTTTGCTTTGATTCTCGAGTTACAAGGAGACGGGTGTTTCAGAAAACCACAATGTAAAGAGCAGCGAACGCAGTGCAAAGCAATATCCAGCAATGAGCGGGCTGCCCTCTGCTGAAAGGGAGGGCTCTTCACTGTCTGAGCTCTCCCACCCCCACGAGCTGGAGAGACAGTCTTGGTTGTAGCTAAGGGAAGCTGGAGAGGAGGGTCTTTGCAACCCAGAGTCAGTGGTTTTTTTTGACTACTAATTTACTGAAAACCAAAGATTTGAAAGCAGACAGAATAAAGATGCTATACAAAATACAGAGCATCAGCGTCTGAATGCCCATTGGCTTCTCATCCGAAACGACAGAATGACGTTTTATATGAAAGAAGGAAAGAAACTGTCAACCCAGAATTCTATAACCAACAAAAGTAGTCTTTAAGAATGAAGACAGAAGGAAGTTCTTCAGGCTGAAAGGAAATAATACCAGATGGGAATTCTCGTGTTGGCAAGCAAGTGAAGAGCATTAGAAATGGAGGCTATAAATATAATATAGAAATACTTTTTCCTCTCAGTTTCTTTAAAATGTCTATGATTGTATAGAGCAAAAATATACTGAATGATGGAGTTTATAATGTAGGTGGATATAGTGCATATGATAGCCATGGATCTAGAGTTCATTTGTGTCTGGACTGGAAAAGCTCCATCTTTATCTCTGGGAATGCCCAGCACAGTGGATGTGCTGCTTAAGATCCCGGTGCCCCTGGCTACCCTCAGGGTCATCTTCTTCACTGACGGTTGGCAGCTGGCCTACATGATTTGACAAGCCTTGCTTGATACGCAAAAGGCCCCTGCTCAGAGTATCCCCTGCGAACTCTTCTAAATCAAAATTCCTCATATAGTCCAAGGACACAGCCTCATCCGTGTGTGCAAATAAGGGGAGATTGCACATGGAACATCTCTCGGTCCTCCGGGGCCTCAGTGCACTCTCTGTCTTGTTGCATCGTACCCATTGCCTCCCGTGAGCACGCCTGGTGAGGTCTGGTGAGTCCTGTCAACTGTCTGAACCGGGAGCGTCTTTCTAACAAGGACAGCATGAGGAAGGGGTGGTAGACATTCCCATATTCTCGCAGGTTCTTGCATTCTGTGTGAAATCGAGTGTTAGCTCTAACTAGACTGTAAAGAACTAAGAATGTATATTATAATTCTCAGAGCAACCACTACGAATGCAAAGAGGTGGAGCTGAAAACTCAATACAGAAATGAAAATGGAATCGAAAAAATTTCAAAACAAATGCACACACCCTGTTAAACAATGTAAGGGTACAAAGTAATAAAAGATTGCTTTTCTGCCCCTCCACAAACATGAAAGAATAATGAGGATGGACAGCTTGTTGTATTCTTCCAAATGTATCTGTATAGACAGGTAGATAGGTAAAGAATTTTTCAACAAATATGGATTGTTTTGCAGCTCGCTTTTTCATATGAATCAACAGTGTGTCAAGGCCAAATTCCAAGGTCAGCCGTACAGATCTACCTCATTCTATTTAATGGTGTTATATATAAAACATTTCATGGAATCAGTGTCCTATACTTTGCTTACCCATTCCCCTGTTGATAGATTTGTAGGCGGTCTTCAACTTTTCACCATTGTATTATTAGTTTCCTATTGCTCTTGTAACAAATTGCCAGAAACACAGTGGCTTAAAACTACATAAATTTCTTCTCCTGCACTTCTGGAGGTCCAAAGGCTTAAATCGGTTTCACTGGCTTAAGGTCAAGTTCTTATCAGGGCTGGCTCTTTCTAGAAGCTCTCAGGGGAAACCTGTTTCCAGGCCTTGTTTGCACCTTCGGGTGGCAGCCTGCGTTCCTTGTCTTGGGGCCCTTTCAGCCATCTTCAAAGTGCATGACTTCAGTCTGTTTTCTGTCCTCATGTCACCACCTTGTCCTCTTCTGACTGTGACTCCTCTTGGGTCCTAACAGGGATCACTGTGATTACACTGGACCCACCTGGATAATAATCCAGGCTCTTCCCATCTCAAAATCCTTAAGGGGAGCCTGGGTGGCGCAGTTGGTTAAGCATCCAACTCTTGATCTCAGCTCAGGTCGTGATCTCAGGGTCGTGAGTTGAAGCCCCACATTGGGCTCCATGCTAGGCTTGGAACCTACTTAAAAAAAAAAAATAAAGATCTTCAGAGTCCTTTTTTTATTTAAAAAAAATTTTTTTTAAGAAAAAAAACAAAGCATAAGCAGAGGGTGGGGCGGTGGATGGGCAGAGGGAGAGAGAGACTCTTAAGGAGACTCCCTGCTCAGCACAGAGCCCCGACGTGGGGCTTGATGTCAACGACCCTGAGATCATGACCTGGGCTGAGATCAAGAGTCAGACACTTAACCAACTGAGCCACTCAGGTGCCCCCAGAGTCCTTTTAGTCATATATATAGTGTTCACAGGTTCATGTGCCCCCCAGCCCCCCGGAGTGTAGCCCTGCACCCTGCCTGCCTTGCTCCTTCCTCTTCCCCCCACCGCCTTTTCCCATCTCCCCACATCCCCCAGCCCCCTGACTACTCTCTGGCATTTGGGGTGGTCCTGCTCCTGGCTTCCTTCTCAGGGTGGCCAAGAGAGGGATCCGGGTGAGTGAGTTGCAGAGTTCAGCAGTATTGACAGCAGTTCACTATTCAATAAACATTGGATGAGCTTAAAAAAAAAAAACAAAACAAAAACTCAACTGTCAGCTTATCAGTATTCCAGTGAACATCCTTGAACAAATATCCCTACCCAGTTGTGTGAGGATTTCTTTTTTCTTTTTTTTTTTTTTTAAAGATTTTATTTATTTATTTGACAGAGAAAGACACAGCGAGAGAGGGAACACAAACAGGGAGTGGGAGAGGGAGAAGCAGACTCCCTGCCGAGGAGGGAGCCCGATGCAGGACTCGATCCAGGGACTCCAGGATCATGACCTGAGCCGAAGGCAGTCGCTTAACCAACTGAGCCACCCAGGCGCCCTGTGTGAGGATTTCTTGTAGTTGAATCCTAAAAGTAGAATCACAAGGTCAAAATGTATCATTTTTCGTGAGCTTCAGCTCTGTCATACAAGAGTTGCCATCTGGTCAACCTCTGCTCTCTCACAGTTTGGGGTTTAATGGGGTTCTCTTGAAATAACTTGCTTTTCCCACAGTTCCCTTTGACACCTGCATAGTCTTGCAGGTCCTTTGGATCTTTCTGTTTCCATAGACCATGGAAACCCATGTGACAGTATAGCTTAGAGATCTGTCTGCCTGAATTCAATTCCAATCAGCACCAGTTTCTAACAGGGTTACCTTGGGAGGTGACATCACCTTTCTGAGCTGTTTCATCATCTGCAAAATGATTTACTTGTAGTATCTTCTTAATAGGATTTCTCTGAAACTCAGCGAAGATACTGTGTACAAAGTTCCCGTCATAGTCCCTAACATACAAGTATCCAATAAAATGAACTAATATTATTCTTATCATTTGCTTTACAGCTCAGAACTTCCTTTTTGTTTCTGTTCTGCTAATGGCATTTCCACAGTTTTCTGGCATTTGCTCTAAGTGTATTCTGATTTTTCCCCCTTTCATTTAATTTGGATTTTGAGTGAGAGGGAGGTGAATGTATGTGCTCAGTTACTCTGATAGGTCCCAGGCCGGGATTGAGATTCCCCATTGGCAGGGACTTTGCCTTTTTCCCTGCTACCCTGCCAGCACGTGGCTCCCAATGGGTTCTCCGTAGATATTTGTGACCTAGTTGCTGGGTGGTCCCCAAAGTAACATAAACAGTCGATGTGAAATACTTGGAATCCTGAGACATTTTCAGGATCGGTTGCTACACATCCCCGCGCCAGCCCCGCACATCCCGAGCGGTGGTGAAGCTGGTCCCGCTGAGCAGGAGTGGGTTTCCCGTTGCAGGAGTCTGTGACATTCAGGGACGTGGCCGTGTTCTTCAGCCAGGACGAGTGGCTGCGCCTGGACTCCGCGCAGAGGACCCTGTACCGGGAGGTGATGCTGGAGAACTACGGCACCCTCGTCTCGCTGGGTAAGGACCTTTCCTCGTGATGGAGAGTCTGCCGGGGGAGCTGCCTCTTTGGGGTTCGGAGTCCACAGCTTCTCTCCTGCCGTGCCCCTGGGAAAGAATGAATCTCTGTGGAGCGGAAAGTGTGTGTGTTGATGTCAGGCCGCCCTTCACTCTGTGCTCTTCTCCTTCCTCTGCCTTCCTCCCACCGCCCCCTCTCCTGACCAGTGTCCTCCTCTTGCAATCCCTGGGTCTCTGTTTAGAGTCTGAGAAGCATACAGGACTGCCAGGGTAGAGGCATTCATAGCCGGGGCCCGCCTCGTTTCTGAGCCGAGCCCCGCCTCCAGATCTATCCCCTGAGAGCCCAGGCCCCTCGGAAGCCTCGGTGCTACCTGCCCTGCCTCCCCAGGCTACCCGCTCTGCACTGTGGGTTCTGCTTTGTGAACTCTGGAGTTGCCCTTCCTGCCCCCTGTTCAACCCGCGTTCCCTTCCTCACGAGCAGGGATTCCGTTCTCAAGGCCGAAGGTGATCTGCCAGTTGCAGGAAGGAGAAGATCCTTGCCTGGTGGACGGAGAACTCCCTCGGGACGCCTGTCTAGGTGAGTGAGTGGCTGGGAAATGGGCGCAGGGGGTTTTATACATGAGCCGGCCATGAGGAAGCAGTGCTGGGGGAACTTCCTGGAAACTGAGCCAGGGCCTCTTGACCAGAGGCTCCGTGATTGGAATGGTTTTCTTGGCATCAAGAAGGCCCTTATGTAGGCCTCTTTCTTCTCCTCCTTAACACTCCCTGCATCCTCTACGTCTTTTCCTTTCCTGCGGCTTCCCTCACTCCCTTCCGCCATCTTGGCCTCTTGGCCTTCATGGTTTTTCTTCCCATCTGCGTTTACATGCTTTCATGCCCGACAGATTTTAAATACTTTACACCTTCTGTCTTGTTTTGAATTCTTTGTAATTTCTCTCACCAACCACATATTTCAGAGTGTTGTCAATGCTCCTGTGTCTCTGATTTCTTAACTCAACGTTTCCCTTTTATCTCCTTGGAGACTGGGCTGTCGCATCCCACTGTTAGAGTTGACCAGCTCTCCTTGACCACTGTAGCCTTTCCAGGCTGGGGGTTAGCACACTTTTCCTACAACGGGCCAGATGGTAAATAGTTTGGCTTGGGGACCATGGGGTCTCTACCGCAACCCTTTAACTCCCCGTTTGTAATGCAAATGCAGCCATAAGCAGTGGGAGTGGCTAGGTGTGGCGCCTTCCAGCAGCAGAGCCGGAGTTGGCCCCGAGATCTCTGGTTTGCACACTCCTAGCCCTGGCTCACCTCCCTGGTCTTGATCCCAAAACCATAGGTCGCTGGAGTTGAAGGATCACTTGAAGACGGTCAGGTTTAGATACCTCTCTTTATATCAGAAGAAACAGCATAATCGGAGGATGTCAAACACTTTGCTCACGGCCAGAGAGCCGAAGAGCCGTGACAGAAACCTAGATCACCTCTGTCATTTCTGTTCACTGTGTGACATGGATTTGCAGTATTTTGCGTCTGTCTTTGTGGTTTCGCCTTTAATCTATGATTCTTGCCTTTATTGGCTTTTTTTCCACAAATACTTTTCACCTTTATTAAAATACATTTTTCTCCAAGAGGCTAGTGAGTAGTACAGGATAGCACTTAAGATCACGGTTTGAATTTAGACTTTCCTAAGCTCATGTTACGCCTGCCACAGCTCGCAAGTGCTCTGCGCTATGGGAAAGTTACCCACCCTCTCTGAGCTTTGTTCTCCTCTCCCACCCTCTGCACCATCCACAGAGCAATCTTTTCGAAACTCAGGTGTATTAATCCTGTGCCTTAGGAGACTTTGTTGTTTCTCGGTTATCCATGGAGGCACGTCCCATTCCTTACTGTGACCTTAAATCTACTTCATAGCCTGTTTCCATGTTGCTTTACAGGAATCGGTGACCCCTTCCACACCAGCTCATGTTCCCGCCAAACCTGCACACTCATTAAGTTTGTCATTCCTTCTTGGATTACCACCTCTATCTTGTTCCCCTGGAAACCTTCTTACAGTGCAAGACCCACCTGTCAGCCTGACCTGTCGGTTTTCCTTATTTCTCCTACTTCCCAGTCACTGTTCATTTCTCAATCACTCGCATTCATATGGCACTTTCTCCATGCCTTGAACACATCCGTGACAGCATCTGTCGTAGCGAATTATAGTTACTTTGTTATTACTTATTTTCCTAACTGGATTGTATATATTTAAGGAAGAGACCAGGTCTTTCTTTGAATTCTGTACCTCTGGCATCAAATATCCTGCACTGAGCTAAGAGTGTTTGAATTTAATTGAGCTGCCTTTATGATGAACTCGGTGCTGATAGGCTCAAAATTAAGAATTCAGTGCAGCCTTGGGATGACCGGGTAGCTCAGTCGGTTAAGTGTCTGCCTTCGGCTCAGGTCAGGATCCCAGGGTCCTGGGATTGAGTCCCACATGGGGCTCCCTGCTCGGCGGGGATTCTGCTTCTCCCTCTTCCTCTGCCTGC